GCACTGTCATTTGTGTCGATTTGACGACGTTTTATTTATTGGATTTTATGTCTTTAGTTTTCAAGTCTATTTGAAGGATTATAATTGGAAATTATAACAGATATGTGAATAGCAAGCTGTTGTACTGTATTAATGATTGTAAAATTCTATAATAATTTAGACAGAATAATATGATTCCTATGAATGGTACTATTGATATATCGAGTACGATCCACTGGGCATAACTAGTGTTGCCTATCTTTATTTTAAATAAAATTTTAAATTGCATAACAGGCAGGTATAAAATTTAATCAGGCAAATAGAAAATCACACTAGCATACTTTATTAATATTCACATCTGCTTACAGGATGAAAAACAGGGAGGTAATACAGAGAAGGATATTACATGAAAACAAGAAATAAAACCAGAGCGGGATAAAACAAAGCGGAAGAAGACAGAGAGAAATTTAGAATAAGAGACTTACTGAGCACATAAACAGTAACTGGAAAATAGTTTCCAGTGATGAGGGCAGTACGAAGGTAAATCTTTGATATTACAATCACACATAAGTAAGAGTAGGGTAAGAGAGAACCTGGTCGAGCTATGAGGGCGAAGATAGCTTCAGATTGGAACGGTATGAACTGTTACAGGGGTTCGATTGTGAGAACAGGGTTGTTGAGTTTCAAGGTTCAGAGGTCTGGTTCAGGGTTCAGAGGTTTGGTTCAAGGTTCAGAGGTCTGTAAAGGTTCAAGGTAAGGTAACAGGATTAGGTTGCTGAAGCTTAGGTGCAAAGATTCACTGCTGAGGCTTAAAGGTTGAGGAAGAGGTTCTAGGGGGCTCAGAGGTTGTCGAAGGCTCAGAGGTTTCAGGAGGCTTAAGCTTGAAGATAGGAGAAGAGGTGAGAGGTTAGGCCCTGCCTGAAGACGAGAAGGGGCTTCCCTTTTTATAAGGCTTGAAGGGAATCTTTTAGGCTCAGATGGACCAGCTGGCAAAGCATAGTCGGTAAGAGAAGACAAAAGAGAGAGGGTGTCGGCAGAATGCGACAAAGGAGAGAGGACAGAGTGTCGACAAGATGCGACAAAGGAGGGAGAGAGAGATGCTAGTGGACAAAAGTAAGAGCATAAGAGGATGCCTTTTGTACAAAAAGACAAAAATAAAAAAGTAAAAGCATCTATGCACAGTGGCTCTTTTGGCCTTATTACACGTGGAGTACAGTGTTTGCTGTCGGTGGTGGGACCCTTGTTTGTCCCATATGATGCCTTGTTATTATCGCTTATTGCTTCTGGATGGTGATGTCATGGATGATGGATTCATGGTCTTTGACTGAATTCTTCTGGATCATCCTCTTCCGGATCCATTTCTTCTGGATCTGTTTCTTCTGGATCCTTCTGACTGAGTTGGAGGTACCTATTGGTGTGCAATGGGGAAGACTGAACTGTTTCTTCGGAAGATGTGGGTTTTCTTCCTGCTTCAGCAAATATTTCTTTCATTTGTTTCTCCAGTTCTTCTTTGGAGGCATGTGGGTTGGTTTGCAGCATATTTCGAAGGTAGGTTGGAAAGTCAAAAGAAGTGTTTGGAGTATTTGGGTTTTCCTGGTATATAGGTGTTTTAGGTGGTAATCTTTTTGGAGTGGCTTTGGTGAGATTCATTTGAAAGATATCCCACCATTTTACAGAGATGGTTTTTCCCACGCGTGGGATGTATGTATAATCATTGGAAGTATTGGGTGATATGGTATAGTCCCATTTCATAATCCAAGGGATTTGATACAGGGCCATGAAGTAAAGGTGAGTGTCAACTGAATTATTGATATTATTGTATTGTATAAATTGCTCCTGCAACTCCTTAAAAGCAGGAGGTAAAATCATAGCAGTTGATCCTCACACGAAATACCAGTTTTGAAACCAAGTGGGGAACCTTTCAAAAATTGGTAGCCGGAACTGTAAATACCAGCTATGAGTATTGTTAGGGTTTTGATAATAGAAAAATTTGTGCCAAGCCTCTATGTACTCAGCATATTTGAAATACTTATAAGAAAATTCAGAATTTTGTAATTTCTTTCCTTGTGCGGGATTAGAACCCCACTCAGTATAAGGAAGAAGTTTCTTTATCTGTACTTTGGAATAGGCTATGATTCGGGTATTCTGTTGAAAGTAGTGGACAACAGAGATGGACCCTGTTTCCATTAGAATGGCTTCGTAATATTCTCGGGTCTTAACCCCATTGATAGAATTAAGATGATTTAGTAGGTATAATGGTGCAAGCTTGCTTGGATCCATGTGAACTTGATGTTCATCAATGGTAATGTCCATTAAAAAGGCTCTTTCAATGTATTCTGATCTTGGAGTGTTGGTAGGAAGAGTGGATTTAGACTGGGCTGGTGAAAATGTAGGAGTTGAAGTTCGTGCTTCTGGGTATGTAATTTGATGAACTGGGGATTGAGATGGTGAACGAATATTCAGGGGTGAAGGTTCCCCTTCATATGGGATTAAAGAATGCATGGGTTGTTTTCCCCGGCGAGTATTGCCTCGGAGCCCATATTTAAGGATGAATGATCCTTATCAGATAGGTTATCTTGGAATAATTGAAGTGCAAGTGAAAGTGGTGATTCGTCGTTGGCGTCAGTGTTGCCCCCCTGCAAAAATTCACGGGTCAGAAAATCGGGTAAAGAATTAGAAGACCCGGGAAGATGTTCAATAGAGAAGTCGAAGGCAGAGAGAATAGCCTGCCAGCGGGCAAATATTTGTTTAGAAATCAAATTTTTAACATCTTTTTGCAGAATATCTTTGGCTGCTTTGCAATCTGTTCGTATAAGAAAATGTTGGTTTAAAACATCACTTTGAAACTTTGTGACACAATGAACAATGGCTAATAATTCTTTTTTGACCATTGAATAATTCAATTGGGTTGAATTCCAAGCCTTTGATGTGTAACGTAATAATTGTTCTTTGGAATCAATTTGTTGTTTTAATATGCCACCAAGTCCTTTATCAGAGGCATCACATTCAATAATTTTAAAAGCAGTAGGATGTGGAAGAGAAAGGCATTCAAAGGTTTTGACCGTACTCTTTATAACATGTATTGCTCTTGTATGAATATCAGACCAAGGAGGAGGATTCTTCTTGAGTCTATCATATAATGGTTTAGAATCCAATGCAAGATTAGGATAGAAATCGCTAACATAATTGAGGCATCCTAAAAACCTTTGTAATTCAGTTTTATCAAGAATTTTATCAGGAAATTTATCAGCAAAAGCTATAGATCTGTCTATTGGGATAATAGTGCCATGATGAATCATGTGGCCTAAAAACCTAATATTGGTTTTGAAAAGTGTGATCTTTGGCAGAAACAACTAAGCCTGCTTGGCTTACAGCATGGATAAATGTGTTTATATGTTTAATGTGTTGGTCTATGGATTCAGAGAATATTAAGACATCATCAATATAGACTATCATGAAATGGTAGTAAGAGTTGAATACATCGTTCATTATTTTTTGAAAGTCTGATGGTGCATTCTTTAAACCGAAAGGCATTACATTCCATTCGTATTGACCAAATGGAACATTAAA